CACTATGGGCTTTTGCTAACGTCAGCAATTGCACCTTTAACAACAGGGTTTTGAAAAATGTTTGAAAATTACGATAATTTTGGAATTACAATTTTTCATAAAATAGTTCTACTACTACAAGAATCCAGAAACTATGAAAATTATAGATGAAAATTTCAAACCTTGGTGATCAATGTTCAATGATAAACAAGGAACAAAATTTTATAACTTGGGAATATAATTGCAAGATATATATGTCCAGATATGACTTCCGCCCAAAATTCAAGTCTCGTATTCATGATCGCCGTATCATTCCAATGCACATCACATAGCCAGGGCGGCCGTCGCATAACCCATCGTCCGGCTCCCAAATCACGAGAGGACAACATGGCAAAGACACGTGGCAAAATTGGAGAGGTTGAGCAGAAACCTCGTAGTTCTGAGGATTCCACAATCCATGCCCGACGAAGACGACGACAGTTTCCGAAAGAGTGAATGAGTGTCCGACACGTGGCTGACGGTATCGACAATATGCATCTGGTGCGAGTATGGTGCATGGCGTGTGCCGGCTTCACGTACCCCGTGCACGTGGATCGCTTACGGGAGGTGCTAGAGAAGAAATTCTTTGAAGCGCAATCCCGTGTTCCAGAATTGGGTGATGAATTCCTCGGCAGCCACTAAGGATCCGAGCAGATGAGCGTCGGCGTCGCGCATGGTAACCTCGACCTCCTGTCTGACTTTCTGCCCGTTAATGAGGTTTTGGCCTACACTCCAACCTTCCCACTCCATACTGTCCTGAAGCTTGACGATCAGGCCGTCCTTGCTCACCCACTTTTCCTCGCGCTCATTTCTCACGAATTTCACCATTCGGAGGTACTCGTCTGACACCCTCATGATACACCCGCCCGGTTCCTGGCCTGGGGCGAACTCGAGGATCGGCTGCTGCTCCAATCGGTCTCGCAGCATGCCTTCCTGAATCAACTCCTCGATCTTTACTGCATAACGCACACAATTCGGTCGAGGCTGCTCGACCGAAGTGTGGGCGTCGGACGAGATCCGCTCATGGGCCTCGGACTCCTCTCTTTCGCCAGATACCAGAGTGGCCCGCAGCCAGAGCTTGGGGGGACTTTTCTCTAGAGAAATGAACTCGAGGCCCGAGTTAACCTTGACTTGGTATTCATAGATTTTAGAGTTTTTATTATTGGGAACCAGAATAGTGAGTTGGTAAATATCAGAACTCAGGCCTAACCTTCTGAAGCCCTCCTCATGCATCTTTATCCGCAGCTTCTCCATGGAGCCACGTACCTGCGACGTCAGTCCACATCCGACCAGATCATCTGCAAAATTTCGGTCACGTAAACACAATCCATTCCATTCGGAGACTAATATTTTGGATTATTTATATGATTTCTTCTTAACAAGTGAACATGCAAAATACAGTATTTATTTATATAGGCCCAGAGGGAAGTACTTCAATTCAGAAGAAGGCTAAAACTCCAGTCATCGTCTGATACTCATCATTGTCAGAGCAGGACCAACTTCCATGATCCAATCAGGCATGACAAATTGATGCTTTGGAGAGATTAGAGAGAGTCTTGGCACAAATCGTATAGTAGGATCGTAAGGTTCGATGAGCACTTGTTTAGCCAAGATCGGTGACCGGGGTAACCATGAGCCCGAATAGGGTGGATTATTGATTCCATCCCAGAAAAATCTCATGTCAACCCCGGGTCATATAGTGCGTGGAAACTATCGACAGAAGAAGACTGAAAACTGTCGACAGAAGCACCCTTCAGAGTATAGTAGATGAGAAGCGTCCAACTTACATGCGGAATCAAGGACTGACGAACTTGCTTAAATAGTGTCGGATTGGACTTTTTGAATTCTGCGCCAGGGCGATCACTCGCAGCAGGGCCAACATTCCAGCTGCTTCTGCTGCTGCTGCGCGCATTCGTTCTGTCCAGTTGCACGTTCTTCTTGCGGCCATTGACGCAATGTTCGAGCTCGGCGATGGACTGCTGCTGTCTGAGGTCCAAAGGCACGTCAATGACGAAGTAGGTTCCGAAACGGACCGAAGCAGTCAAACGAGTACCCACTCGTCTCTCTGATGCCCAATCCTGGGAGAGGGCCAGCTGCCTCTGGCCCAACAGCAAGCCTCTCAGTCTCGAGAAGGCATGCTCCTGCCACTTCGAGCACTCGACTGCGGCCGCCAGAACTGGCACACGCAGATCCATGCCAACCAATTCCACACCGATCTGGCCCTTGTACTTGACGAATCTCAACTTGTCCTGCTTGCTCGACGAGCCCTCGAAGAACAGGAGCAATGGCCCATAGTCGCTTTGACCCGTCGTGGGCTGCACCCGACTGTCCGCATTTTCTTCTGCGATTCCTAACGAGGACATTCGCCCCGACAACGTACATTCGACTGTCTTCTCCATCTAACAGGAATTAATCGAGAAATCAGACAGCACTTCTTCTGATCAGCGCAGCCGCAGCCTCAGATAGCAGTCGTGTCTATGTTTATTGATCGATCGATCGAGAGAGAGAAACTGCGCAAAGGGCATTAAAATCTCGTTCTGGAGTGAATTACCATGTCTGGGTTGGGGATCCTCTATATAGGGTCATCCAATATTGGGAAGCGGGAAGACCACAAGATAGGAGAGTGGGAAGTCCGAATGAAACTAATTGATCACCTGACGCGGCACGCATGACGAGACTTGATACTGCCGCACTAATGTTTGAGCGGTGAGGACCACGGAAGCCTCATGATACACCTTCTCCTGTAATTCGCCGGCCGCAGAGACGCACATAATCCGGCGTTGATTGCAATGTCCGTCTCGGAAGAAGCGGAATTCCTTTACTCGCGTAAGGTTGAGGGGCAGCAGTATCAGATAACAAACTCTTTTCCATGAATAATAACCGTAGAATGAATTAAGAACCCTTCCCTCCTTCGAGCCTTCGAGTTCGAGAGCTTGAGCTGCGTCTCTCCCGTAAGCTGTTCGTATGACATCTTCCTCCGCTGCGCGAACGACATCGGATTATACTCGATCAGCGCTTCGAACTCGGCGAAGACTGCCGGAGGCACGCTGTACGGAGCGAGTAGTGCATGCTCTATCCTATTCTGTAATTGAATCAGTAGTATCAGGGAGATGGTGAGGACTACAATATTTCCTTGATGCAGCGAAGGAGTAGCCCAGGCAAGAGTCGAGGAGCTCGGACAGGTATGCGGGACTGATGCTGTAGCCATAGACGCCCGTCGTAGATGGAATATGAAAGCATGTGGCGATGGTTTCTACGTAAAGGAAGATGAGATATGTTGAGCTTCCAAATCCAAAACAGTTCGTAGAGACTCTCGAAGTATACAACAGTGAGGCGAGCCATTGTCGCAAGATTAGCAGAATGAAAAATTGGAATCCACCTGAAAAAGAGGAACCTGCACATTGATGGGAACGTGTAGCCAATCTGAGAACTTTCAAATGCTCCTTTGGACATGAGTCCGACATAGATCCGTCTTGACCAAATGGAAAAGCTGACTGATTGTTATGGCTAGTCACGTGGCTAGTATATTAAGGAAATAGCTCTTGTGCCTCATGCTCACCAGACCACTGAACAAAAATTCAGACGGAGATTACGTCAATTTTAATCTTGGGTACGGATGTTTGGAGGAGTGAAAGTTCCATCCAAAACGATGGCAATGTCGTTGCCCTCATTTATTTCCGGAAAGAGGAAAAGCGTTGAAGGAGGGTGTATGTTTTCTTCAAGCGGATAATCTGTAGAAGCCTTAGAAGCGGTTTAACTCAATCTACAGGGTTTAGAAACCTTGAAGAGAGTCATCTTGAGAGAACACTTGTGGCGAAGGTTGTTGGAAACAAATCTAGGGACGTCAAAAACAAGTAAGCATCGTAGAATCTACGTATGGAAATGGGAACGGTGAAATGATGGAAATCTTCTACATGTTAGGAGCAAATCGATGTAGTGAAGAAGGGTGAAAAAGGTATTGAAAGGTAGAAAAAATCCCGGGAATGGGGAGCAAATGTCAAATAGGAAAATAAAGCACGGGTGAGAGATAACATGATTTGGACGTGGTGGACGTCGATGAGTCAGCATGGGAAGAAAAGGACTGCAAAGGACTAACATTTGAATACACAGCAAAGACTTGACATTATCATGCTAGAGTTATATACTTTATACGAAAAGAAGGAGAAAAATATAACAAAAAGGATTGTAACAATCCATACAGAGTCGAAACCAAACCATGACATTTTCTAAACATAATTGCATCCCATGGAAAGTATGTGATGTTGTACATAGATTATTTACCATCAAAGAGACTTTGCCCTCCCACTCAATGATATACTGCACATTGAATACTAAGATCTGGTTATCTGTTAAGCTATCAATATATCGATGAAGAATAAAGTGTACATTTAAGTCACCGCGTTTATTACTCTAAGTACCAAATCTTACCCTCCAATTGTAAGAAACGAGATATCGGAACACTCTCTGAACTCACATCTTTTCTTCTGTTTCTTTGTAGTATTTATGGGGTGGACTCCAAAACTTCCGGTTAATAGATCTTGCAAGTACAGTCAGCAAACACTTGCCATTTCAATTCTGCTGAGGTAGGTTTTGTTAAGCAGGGTTGAGAGAGCAAACCTGTGTTAGTGTGGCCCTGGTTACATCAGTCCGAAATTGACACAGGTACTGTACAAAAAATTGGATCGCACACTTCCCTGATAACAATGGACAGCTTCCTAGGTGTGTGGTTCTATCAAAAGACAAGGTTCTACTTTATTGACTGATTCCGATATTCCTTTTAAAGTAAAGTTCCAAAGACTTTTGGAGCCGAAGTACACCCCATGAACCCGAGGAATTACGATGCAATTAGGAAGAAGTCAGTAGAACAAACTATCCAATTTACTTTGACAGTGTTTCTAAGACTACAACCCATGCTTGCGCATTAGATGCTGGCTTGAGCAAGAGCTTTACAGGCTTCCTGCATATTTGACTCATCCAAAATGCTACAAATAAAAATCACTGAGGTTTATCTTTGCCTCCTCTAAGATGAAAAATGCACAGATTATGCGTTGAGTCCGAGGAATTAGTCCAGAGTAGAAGGCTGCCATTCCTCCTTCTTGCAGGAGGAGCTTAGATGTGGAGGTTACGGTTCTGTGGACACAAAAGGTTAGAAAATTAGATCAAAATATTGGTGGACAGACGAGAATTTGAAGCTGCAAGGAGAAGCTCACTGTGTAGTGAGCTCTCATCGAAAGCTTTTCGACCTGAAAGATTGGAAGTTAGAAGTCCGCGACCAATCGTGCCAATTTTGTGAGCAGAGCACAGTACGAGAGAATCAAAAGACACTAGGTATTACATGCAGCTGAATACATTCGGGTCCGAAATCATAACAGTGGAATGATCCAAGAGACAAGAAAACTTGGTGGATGATCACATACAGTATCGGAGCTCAGCCTAAATATAACATCACTAAGAATACCTGTATTTCTGAAGGTTTAAATTGGCTTCCATCCTGGTTTTTATGGTATCGAAAGGATGGGTGATAAGCGTGGAAATCGATCCGGAAACGACACCAGCAAGGACAGTCGCCAGCGTGTGTCGACCTTTAAAACTGGCGGCAGCTTGAAACTTCTCTTGAAGAAGTGGATTTACATCCAGATATGCCGCTGTGAAGAAGCCTTTTCTCACCAATGTTCGAGGTTGAGAATGCAAGTTCTAGCTCACTTTCAGAGAATATATGCTAAGGAGACTTGAGGAGAGGATGAATGGATCAGAAATTGATCACGAAAGAGATAAATGACAGACTCAAATTATGAAAATGGCACCCAATTATATACACTTCAGCTAATTCTCTTCATGAATCTAAGCAACTGAAAAAACGAGGAGATTCTGATAACTACCTTTTAATAGGGATTAGTTTTCTGTTAAATTAGTCTGAGTTCCTCCTTCCTGTGCCAAGAGAGCTTTAAGTGAAGCTTTTAACTGTTAAGAACAAGGCCTAGCTGAAGTCTGCAGTTGAAAGGACATGATGGGAGAACCACGGGAAGAATTTTGATCGATATGTTGAGTGCAGGAAGCTGAGTAAGACTTGACGATATGGAATGCCTTCTTCTACGGTGAAATAATAAAATGTAATTGGATGGTGTAGACTCATCTAACCGTACGGAGACGTCAGACCACGGGAAATCTCAATGACAACCCGACTTGAAAAATATTGAAGAAAGATGGACTCAGAGACAATATGGTGCTTCAGAAAAATCTGTTTCTCAGCATGTGAATATTATGCAAAGAGCACAAAGTAGAATTCGGAGAGTTATAGTTAAAGCGCTAGTTTATACATACTAGGATCCATATACAATCTGAACGAAAATTTGGTGAAGGATCGCACCAATCCACGAAAAAAAGATAAAGCTACGTATTTCCGTTCTCTGTTGCTGGATCATAGTTAGTTCAGCAGGACCAGAGCAGAAAGCCGACACCATTCCCGCAATGACTGATGCCGGACCTGAAACATGGTAACAAACTAGGATGTGGATCATCGATCGAATTTGAGCACACCTTACATGATCAAAGGCCAAACACCAACCTATGCTTTTGGAAATAAATGTGCAGCAGAAGCTATGGTTAACATATCAATATTAAAATACTTACTTATGAAATTAGTTAAATAGTAGTTACCGCCTCCACACTTACTTGACAAGCATTTCTTCAGAAAACGATTCACCCAAATTGTAGGGCATTCACAGGAGGTATACTTCCGGCATTTACATTGAGTCGTCATTTAATATCGGAACTCTAGGATTAAAAGAAGAGAACAGCTAGTTATCACTCACTATACTGAATGCAGTTATCTGATTGGTCTATGTGGATGAGTAGCAAGTACTTCCGAAATACGACTCTATAATAGAGTGAATGCTAATTAGCCCTAAATGATGGTTAACTAGCCTCCTCTCTAAAAGAAATGTAGTTCTTTTTACATCAAAGAACTGTAAGCATTTGCGAAATTGGCAAGCCGCATATTGAAGCGCGTCCAATCATCAGGTGTGAAAATTTTGACGGCTGATGAACTTATTGAGGCCGGTTAAATGTTGTTATGGTTTTCTCGTACGATCGACAAACATTTGACTACGTAACGAAGAGGTTTCGAGGTCATCTCAACCTTCTTTATTTTGAGTTTGAAATTTATTTATTTTTAATGTAACAAAAATTTGTATTTTTTTCAAAATGTAATAAAAAAGATTATTTTGATAATATTTATTTCAATTTATAATATTTTTTATTTAAAAAAATTCATTAAATTACAAAAACTCTAACACATTTTACATTCTATGAATTTGATTATAATTTTTTTTTTGATTTTGCATCATCATCTGTTTGGTTATATTACTATATGTCATAAATTGATATGTTTTTTATCTCTACTACTATTCATAAGTAGACATTTGTCTTTTCATTGCAATTTTATTTATACTCATTATAGCTCTTTACAATACCTATTATAACACTCAAATTTTCTTGTTACTTTAACTCAATAAATTATTTTGATTATTTTCTTTTTCTTTTTCACTATATATGCATTTCAATTTTGATATTTTAGCAATATTATACTTTATTTTTTACACATTTTCAATTTTTCAAGTAAATATTATATCATCATTATCATTTCAGTTTATATATTTGGTATCATCATTTTGAATTTTCTAGCTTAAAGCATGTTGCAAATGTAATTTTCTTCAAATTGACATTTTGTATTGAAATTTTGATTTTAATTTTAGGATAATTAGTATTGTAACCAAAAAAATCTCAAATGCAAAATTCATGTCACCGATAGTTACAAATTCATCACAAATGATCATATTTGACAAAAAATATGCGATTCACCTCAATGTAAACATGTTCACAAAAAAATATATTTTTCAATCCAAAAGCCCTGTCATCAAAAGATTTTGATCAACTCTCTTATATGATAACATCCTAACTAGCTCATAGTGATTAGATTTATCAAAATGAGATAAATATGTATTAATTCATACATATCATTCTTTTGATTTATATATTTAGGATTGTGACATATATGAAGTACATGTAATTACTTGATGAGACCAATCAAGTGTTGTTTTACTCAGTAGATATACACTAACAGCACACGTCACTTATGTTTTAGTATGAAACAACGATGGAGGCAATTTTGATTATGTCAAGTCATATGTGTCGGTGAAAGAGGTATCCAACAACAACTTATAGCTAGCATTATTGAATATCAGGACGTATGATCATCCTGGAACTTATAAAAGTCATGATTCCAAGAAGAAAATCGAGAGGAACAAGCAAGTTTGATCACCTCATCATGACTGCTTGCATTGGTGCATGCTAGGTTTTGTGGACACGATGAACCAACTACTGCTCAAATCAAGCGCGAGCTTCAAAAAGACTTAATTGGGATCTCTTTTGACTCAAAATCACCGGAGCTCGCTCATAAAGATTGCTCGCTCGCTTTGTGATTGAAAAATGCAAACGTGTGTGTCCAAGATTCAAGTCCAACCTACAATTCATCCTCGTGCAAGAAAAGATAACTCAATATCAAGCTACAACATCCCTGAATTTGGAGTAAGATCAAACTTTTGCTTAGAAGAACTAAGACATGTTAACATCTAAGTCTAGTAGTAAAATGCTCCTTCCATCGAGTCGAGAGATGTCATCAATGTCATTAAAAGCACAATCTCTAGCATCTAAGTCTAGCACTAATATGCTTCATACATCAAGTTGAGAGATATCATCTGTCATTAAGAGCACAATCTTTAGCTTTTTTGTTCTATGACTTTTTTAAGTGATTCCAAACACTCAACTTTGTCATAAAGAAAACTTCTGCATATCACTTCCTTTAGTTACAACTTTTTTTAGAAGATGAGTTTCAAACTTTTAGAGTTTTTAAATCCTCACACTAAAATAATAACAGGTTTTAGAACTTGACGACTATGTGCAGAATCTCATAGGATAAAATGAAACTTGATGGGTCCAATAAGTAATTTGTGTTACGATGAGATCCCGTCGAGTAATTCCTCTCATGACCTTCATAGTCTATGTTACGGCGGTTGATTTTTTGGAAATACGCATTAGTATTTGTGGATTTTTATCTGTTTGAACTACTAGGAACATCATCTATGTTATGAATAACGCTAGTTGGTTAGTTTCCAGCATATCCCAAATTGGTGTTTGAGAGTTTATGTTTGTTGAAACTAACTTATACTTGAACATTGTATCAGTTCTTTAGTAAACAAATATGTTCATGTGGACTATCTAGAGATCAATCACAAATTGTCAACGTCAAATCTGCGTACCTTGTTGAGTGTTTTTTTAATGTTTGTAAGGTGCATTTAGCTAACAAATGAAATCAGAATTAAGTTCTTTTTGGATGTCATTTCCAAATGGCGTGCGGAAAAATTACTCAACATTCTCGATTTAGGAAAAGTATACAATCTTAACAAAATAGCGTCTTCAAAGGCCAATCAAACAAAGCTCACAGATTACAATCTTGCATTACTTGAATCTATTTGATGAGCAAGTATACACCGAATCTTTCCATAAATATCCACAGATGTTTTTTTGAATCCTACTAGGTCAGGGATGTGATTCTTTGGTAGAGCCACTGAATTCATGAAAATCAAAGCGAAACAAGATTACCTTGTATCCAAGTACGACGATGTGTTTATATTTCATGATCTTGTTATGCATTTTGCTCTAGCCTCATCACTAATGGCTAAGAAGTGAAGACTAACAGAAGCATAATAGTTATAGTATCACTTCTCTTGTTCGATTTACACATGAATTTGTTCAATCTTCTTGTGCAATCACTAAGAATGGCAATATAGTTACACTGCCAACGCAGTGAAACTTGACAATATGAGCTGCAGATTATACTCCCTCCACTATAAGAGTCTCAACATTTGTCTAGTAAAGTATAAGAAATAAAATCATCTTTGTTGATTTTCATGCAAAAAATATGTACACACATCAATCAACTAGAGCAATAGATAATACATCATCCCAATACAACATCGTCAACATTAGGGATTGGTAAATATGGTAATTGTAGTGACACAAAAATTTATGTTTTAAAATCTTGTGGAATATTTTCAATAGATGCAAATGACCTTAGAGTTGTTTTTTTATCTTGTCAAAAACCTTAGTACGCATGAGTAAGATGTTTTTTCTTAGAGTGTAGGCTTAGATGAATCCAAGTTGTAGAGCAAGAGACATCTTGACTTCTGCAATGTTGGAGATAATTATTTGGTAACTATCTGCAAGGATTTGATAACACTAGGAATCAAAAAAGTAGCTCATTTCAAGATACAACAGAATTGTGAAGATGAAAAATATCTCATTTTACTCTCCTTTACATGGATCTAATGAACAAATACAAGGAGATAAGATTTCATTTCCACCATCCATTCCAATCCTAATAGATTGATAACATGGCGGATAACTCTAACAAGCACAGAGAATTTTGACATGTCATTTCAACTAACACTTTCAATCCTTATGTAACAAGCACATGTATTGTTGACGTGTCGCTATCAACTAACACATTTAATCTTTACATATCAAGCACACAAATCATTGATGTGGCAAATATAAATGTAATTATATCTCAATCCTGAATAACCTTTACTTTAGTTCTAATCAATCTAATATATTTACAAATCTCACGTCTCTTAAGACGCAACTTGCTTGTTGCACATCCGTTTGAACTTTTGAACTATCAAAGATGTATTAGCTAGACTTTTAATTGGATTTCACGTTCATTCGTATGATATATATACTTTTTATTGAGTCAAATAACTTATTTTAAAATATTTATGAACTCAAATCCGTTTTTTGAATGTATTTTTCACCTCAAATATCTTAGTAACAGCTATTAAGATTGCTAGAGGAGTTAACACTGATTGATATGTCAATTGCTTTGATTATCATATATGTTTTGGCAATCATGACATATAAAATACATGATATATTTTCATATAAGACAAAAATTGCCAACTTGTATGATATTTCATCAACAAGTATAAATATCACAAAACAACCAATATAATTTGGCTTGAACTTTGGTGTTACTAAGAGATACAAATTTGTTGTAGATAATCAAACATGAATTTTTACATGAAAATCAACTCTTTGCAATGAATATTTGCATGTTTTTTTAATTTTGAATAATCAATAGTTTTTTCTTTGTTTAGTGTAATATTTTGTGAATATGCTATAAAATATTGTTGAACTCGGCTACTTTGTTCAAAAACTACAGTTCTTTCAAAATGTTCAAACTTGATAGAGTTATGGAATGAATAACGTATATGACGTAGATAAAATACATCTTTGTGGATGCATTTATAGAATTGTCATCATTGCAAATGTCACAAAAATCAAAAGAGTATTTCATTCTTGTTGCTACTCTAATATGAATGTCCATAACATATCCTACACAATTCTATTGGTTCTTTCTATTTGATCATTACTTTGGACATGATAAGTCGTTGACATTACT